TTGCACTACTTAATGTCCATATGTTGGTATGCTCCCTAATTCCTTAGGTGTCCCTGCTTTCCTTGTGCTGGCTGTGACTGGCCTGTCTCCTTATGACGAGGAGGTCTCGTTCAGTCACGTGACACTGCTGGGAGCAGAAGGGGAAAGCCTGAAGAAGGTCTTGCTGAACTCCTCCTCCTCTTCGTCCTCTGTGTTGTCGAGCTATGCCACGGTAGATCTGATTGGCTGGGTGGAATCAATTCCGAGAGCTCCCTTCTGTGTCCGCCTCACGGGCCGAGACGGCGGGGGAAACAAGCTGGAAAGGGTCGCCACGGAAATGGTGCAGCCCACTCGTGTTCAGATACAGGCAAGTAAGGAGCCACGATGCTGCCACAAGACGCTGTGATGTGGCGTACAAATAACCAGAGCATCAGCTATTTCCATATTTAAATTGTTTATAGGAGTAGCATGGGACCTTTAAAACTTGTTTTGCTTTCTCCTTTTTCTCTCTCTTTAGGTCCTTTCCACACCCGCTCTGGTACCTGGTCACAGCACCACTGTAGATTTCAACATCCTGAACCACGGCCCGGACAGACTCTTCAGTCTGACAGCTGAGGATGATTCTGGATATCTCCACACGAAAGGACCTCACAGGTAACCCCTCTTGACCAGGGGCCACCAACATGGTGACATGGACAACAGGTAATCCCACAGGCATTACATGAGTAGCCCGCAGGCCTGTTCTAAAAATAGCTCACCAGTGATGGGACATTGTGATTTTCTCGGAATGTTGCAGAAGATATCATTTCAAAACATTGGCGGAGATCTACAGAAATAACATGTTCTATATTTAGCGTTTTCCAAATTATTGTGATAAATTATGAACATGATCAGTGTCTTCACACAAATAAATATCATTAACTATCCATCCATTTCCCGATGCGCTTTATCCTCACAAGGGTCGCAGGGGGAGCTGGAGCCCATAAAGTGACAAAAATGATCACTTTGATCAACAAAACAATGTGTTTGTTAAATTAAAAACTGCATGATACATATCAGCATGGTGAAGAAATATTTTTAGTTGGATACGAAAACATTGGCGGAGATCTACAGAAATAATATGTTCTGTATTTCGCGTTTTCCAAATTATTGTGATAAATTATGAACATGATCAGTGTCTTCACACAAATAAATATCATTAACTATCCATCCATTTCCCGATCCGCTTTATCCTCACAAGGGTCGCGGGGGGCTGCTGGAGCCTATAAAGTGACAAAAATGATCATGTACGACCGGGCCGGGCCCCAAGACCTTAAGAGTTTTCTAAATTGCCTTGGCTCCACAGGCGAACAACAGCACCATCTAGTGGGATACTACTGTAAAACTATTTACTGAAGACAACCAGTATGACAGTAACTGTAATAAAAGGTAACTAACTTTTCATAGATTCATGTCACTGCTGTGTGCAGAAGTCGGTCCGGTGTATGAGACTGATGACCCGAACCAGTTTATGGAGCACATGGAGAACTTGATGGCCCTTGGAGGAGGAGATGAACCAGAGATGTGCTTAACAGCCATTCAGGTGTGCATGTGTGCGTGTCTGTGCGTGTGTGTGTGTGTGTGTGTGTGTGTGTGTGTGTGTGTGTACTAATTGTTGCACGTTTCTAGTTGGCCCTCACTCACAGCCCACCACTCTCAGAGATCTTTGTGTTCACCGATGCCTCCCCCAAGGACGCTCACCTGTTTGACGTGGTGAAGGCCCTCGCACTTACCAAACAGAGCAAAGTAAGACAATTTGTGAACCCTCTGGACCAAGGGTGTCAAACTAATTTTTGTCACATTTGTCACATTTTTGTTACCGTTTTCCTTGGAGGACGCGACAGTGACGTGCAAAGTCGAAATGTCAACCTTAACTGAGCATCAATCAGACCTTCAAATAAATATCAAGATGCAGTATTTATAATTTTTTTAAAGGAAAAACAATTAGATACTTTGTTCATTTAATTATTTCCATATTCATGCTGTAAGCAAAAGGTGCATTATCTACAGCCCCAGCACAGAAAACGCTGCCCCTATCTAACAACAATTCAAATGAATCCAAACATGGTATGAAACCTTCTTGCAGGTGGGATGAGACCTTTCGTGTAAGCCATGATGTCAGAAGGAAGACAAAGAAGAATGCAAGACAATGAACGGAGCACGCACCGGTTTACGCTTGCTTACCTTCTCCTCCTGGCTTCACCGTGCACATGCTTCCTCCCCAACTTCTGGTCACGGGTATTGACGCTGTCCTGGGACTCGTACACACACCAGTACATCACTGAGCAGGCCATCCTCAATGTGACCCTGGACACTCTGCAACAGCACCAAGGTCACCATGATGAGAAAAAGGTGAAACGGAACATTCATTGTAATTCGGTGAGAAAAAAAATTAACGTTTTTGTATTTTTATATTTGGCCTCCTTTTCAGGACAGACTGGGACGAAGCTTCTGGAGGGCTGTGGGGGAGGTGGTTCACTCCAATGCTGAAATGGACTTCCTGAGCTCCACTAGGTCTGACCCCGTGTACCACTTTGATTCCGAGCGGGTTGAGAGCGCAGTGGCAATGCTGCGACAGTTCTGGGCTCATACTCTGCTGTCAGTGCGGGCCAATGAGTACCAAAGTGCTCGTCACAGCTTGGGACAACTATTTCACTCCCTGCAGGTACACAACAACAACAGCTAAAAATATATCGAAAGAAGATTCGACATGTTTATTATTATTATTTTTAATTTATTTATTCTTATTTTTTAACACAAGGACTTCTACAGTCACAGTAACTGGGTGGAGATGGGCCAGCGCTCCATTTACCTCCACTTGCTTCAGCCAAAGGAGCCAGCTATCCCTGTAGCTGAAGGTGATGCAGACTTATACAGTATCTACATTATCTTTACAATGTTTCTCTTGTTTGGTCTTTCTGTAATGCATTCATGTGCAGGTTGACGAAAAGTCTTGCCAGAACTATCGAATAAGAATCATGATTTGTCAGCAGAAAGGCAGTTAGAGGGGATGGAGAGAGATAAATAGACACAAAAAGATCTTAAAGACTAGAGGAAATGTAGACACAAGGCATTACGAGACATCTTTAGATGTCAAATATCTCCAGACAGAAAGTCAATCTAATGCGATTTTTTTGTATTTAATCGAGGGGCGAGCGGCACGCTGGGGACTGTTTAGCATGTCTGCCTCACAGTGCCAAAGTTGTGGGTTCAATTCTGGCCGACTGCCCAAAGAGAGCTAGGATAAGCTCCTGACCACACAAACGAAGAAAAGTAGTACAGTATTGCGCCCTCTGGTGGTGAAGATCATTGTAACGTGACAACTAACCTTTGTGTCACAACCCCTGGTCCTCCCCTATCTGGGCCCTCAGAGTATTTTCATCCATCCATCCATTTTCCGATCCGCTTTATCCTCACAAGGGTCGCGGGGGGTGCTGGAGCCTATCCAAGCCATCTTCAGGCAGTAGGCAGGGGACACCCTGAACCGGTTGCCAGCCAATCGCAGGGCACACAGAGACGAACAACCATCCCCGCTCACACGCACACCTCCACACAGGAAGGCCGCAGCTGGGATCGAACGCACGGCCTCTCCACTCTGAGATCGATGCTCTAACCACTGGCCCACCGGACTGGCCCGAGTGTTTGCAATCCAAACAATTGTGTAAAAAAAGTCAGAAAAACTTTCATAACAATGAGCATTTGTACAGTTTCATCATTTCCTTGTACATTCAAAGCCCCTCAGAGAACTGCATGCATGAAAAGTGACTGGTGGCAAGCATAGGAAAACAATCCCTTGTTGGTCCTTTTGTGTCTTCTCCACAGGTGACACACCCACCTGCATGGAGTGCTTTAGCGCCACCTGTCGAAATAACCTCCTTCCAAGATTGACAAGTACACAGAGGGACTCACAGCTGCTCACAACTGGCTACTTCAGCACATTCCCTCCAAAACCTAAAGGTATGCAAGTAAAAGTAAAACAGATATATATTTTTTTGGTACCCAAAAAGTACTAAACATGGATTTTCACCTCCTTTAACCATCTGAACAACAACAATGTTGCTCTGTTACAAATTAGATTATCTTGGAGGGGTTACCAATGTGGTGCCTGCGGGTACCAGGTAGTCCCCAAAGACTACGTGATGAGCCCGCACGCCTTGATTAGTATGGGTATGAAAAAGGTTGTTTTTTTTAGGAGAAACACAAACATGCAACTTGTTGGTCAGGCAAATGCAGTCACGGAGGTATGCTGGACAGTAGCCGCACTATGGGGGCCAAAGGGGGCATTAACAAAGACAGCACATCACCTCTCTTCTCCCCTCATCATTACCTCCACGCGGAAGCAGCCAAGCTGGCCTCCGAAGATACTCTGACTGTACTGAGAGATCTCAGGGACACAGTGGGGCACAAGACCTTTCTCAGGTGGGAATACAGAAATATAATACAAAACCATGCCGGGTAAATAATCAATGGTGAGAACTAGTAATAAATATTTCGCAACTGCGCTTGAATATACAGGTACTTTCATCTGTTTACTGCAAAGGTTTTGAATGTTGATTTTGATCAAAAACTAAAAAGTCAATGTGAGAGGAAAAAAAATCTCTTGTCTCTTAAGCTAAATAAAGTCCATGAAATCCTTCTTGATTTTATTTTATTTTTTTAATCAAGCTTCCTACAACCTCCACAGGCTTTTTAGCGTGAAGCAGGCACCCGCTCTGGTTTTTGTCATTGACACCACAGGGAGCATGTTTGAGGAAATCACAGCGGCTCGAATGCGGGCTTACTCCATCATTCAGAACCGAGCAGACCTTTCTGGCCGACCTGGAAGCTTCTTGCTGGTACCCTTCCATGACCCCGGTGAGGAAGCACCGCAAGGATAATGCCCATAGTTGTTTTGTACCTTTCTTTTCATGTGGCCCAAAAGTGGTTTAAAAATTCAAACAAAATTATGTAAAAATGTTATCCGTCTGCCCTTTGGCCTTACCAATAAAAAGGGAATCATAAAAAAATAGCTCCTTAAAAACACATGTGAATATAGGTAAAGTGGCAAATCATAATTATGTAGAGGACATCATATCCAAAGGGAAATTTGTTTTAAAATTCGACAAAATTGGGGAAGTCAATTAGAGTCACAGAAAGGATTGTGTTCAACTTTTAAAGTTCTACTATATTCTTATCCTTATTCATGTCACTGGAAACCAATTATTTATTACATCTGTCCTCAACAGAGGCTATGTTTTTGTGGCTGCTGTTTGTTTGTCAACAGGATTCATCCATAAAACCAGACGGAGTACTTCATTTTTGACCACAACACAATTAGAGATTCCAAAATGAATAAAACTGAAGAAATGTAACTTATTTAGTCCTTCTGTACGACCGGGCCGGGCCCCAAGACCTTAAGAGTTTTCTAAATTGCCTTGGCTCCACAGGCGAACAACAGCACCATCTAGTGGGATACTACTGTAAAACTATTTACTGAAGACAACCAGTATGACAGTAACTGTAATGAAGGTAACAAACTATTCATAGATTCATGTCACTGCTGTGTGCAGAAGTCGGTCCGGTGTATGAGACTGATGACCCGAACCAGTTTATGGAGCACATGGAGAACTTGATGGCCCTTGGAGGAGGAGATGAACCAGAGATGTGCTTAACAGCCATTCAGGTGTGCATGTGTGCGTGTCTGTGCGCGTGCGCGCGCGTGTGTGTGTGTGTGTGTGTGTGTGTGTGTGTGTGTGTGTGTGTGTGTGTGTGTGTGTACTAATTTGCGCGTTGCTATTGCATTGCACATGTATGGTTGGATGTTGCAACACAAGACTATTCAACATTCACATTCATATGCTAATGCATGTATATACATATTATATATAATATATAATATGTATATACACGCACCCATTTATTTGTCAGAAGTCTTTATTTGTGTGAATTTAATGATGATATAGCTCAACTGTAATGAGCATAATTATGTGACAGCTATGAATTATTTTTTTTTAAACATCCTTTGAATTAATGTTATTTCGTAACAATTATCAAATGGCAAATAACATGAATACAAACATGCTTTACTGAGCTATTTTTTAATCCACAATATTTGAGTTTTTAAAAATTATTAATTTATGATAAAGACTAAAACACCAAGAGCATAAACAGGTGTGCCGCTGCAGGTGGAGCCCTACAGTGCCACCTGTTAGTCACAAACAGAACCGCGACAGTGACGTGCAAAGTCGAAATGTCAACCTTAACTGAGCATCAATCAGACCTTCAAATAAATATCAAGATGCAGTATTTATAATTTTTTTAAAGGAAAAACAATTAGATACTTTGTTCATTTAATTATTTCCATATTCATGCTGTAAGCAAAAGGTGCATTATCTACAGCCCCAGCACAGAAAACGCTGCCCCTATCTAACAACAATTCAAATGAATCCAAACATGGTATGAAACCTTCTTGCAGGTGGGATGAGACCTTTCGTGTAAGCCATGATGTCAGAAGGAAGACAAAGAAGAATGCAAGACAATGAACGGAGCACGCACCGGTTTACGCTTGCTTACCTTCTCCTCCTGGCTTCACCGTGCACATGCTTCCTCCCCAACTTCTGGTCACGGGTATTGACGCTGTCCTGGGACTCGTACACACACCAGTACATCACTGAGCAGGCCATCCTCAATGTGACCCTGGACACTCTGCAACAGCACCAAGGTCACCATGATGAGAAAAAGGTGAAACGGAACATTCATTGTAATTCGGTGAGAAAAAAAATTAACGTTTTTGTATTTTTATATTTGGCCTCCTTTTCAGGACAGACTGGGACGAAGCTTCTGGAGGGCTGTGGGGGAGGTGGTTCACTCCAATGCTGAAATGGACTTCCTGAGCTCCACTAGGTCTGACCCCGTGTACCACTTTGATTCCGAGCGGGTTGAGAGCGCAGTGGCAATGCTGCGACAGTTCTGGGCTCATACTCTGCTGTCAGTGCGGGCCAATGAGTACCAAAGTGCTCGTCACAGCTTGGGACAACTATTTCACTCCCTGCAGGTACACAACAACAACAGCTAAAAATATATCGAAAGAAGATTCGACATGTTTATTATTATTATTTTTAATTTATTTATTCTTATTTTTTAACACAAGGACTTCTACAGTCACAGTAACTGGGTGGAGATGGGCCAGCGCTCCATTTACCTCCACTTGCTTCAGCCAAAGGAGCCAGCTATCCCTGTAGCTGAAGGTGATGCAGACTTATACAGTATCTACATTATCTTTACAATGTTTCTCTTGTTTGGTCTTTCTGTAATGCATTCATGTGCAGGTTGACGAAAAGTCTTGCCAGAACTATCGAATAAGAATCATGATTTGTCAGCAGAAAGGCAGTTAGAGGGGATGGAGAGAGATAAATAGACACAAAAAGATCTTAAAGAAATTTTTACAACAGACCTGTGGGCAACTCATGCGGTCCCGTGGGCAACACTTTGGTGACCCTGCGACTGACAGTAATTCTCAAAGTGAATTTGCGGGATTCACCAAAGAATGGCGAGCGGCACGCTGGGGACTGTTTAGCATGTCTGCCTCACAGTGCCAAAGTTGTGGGTTCAATTCTGGCCGACTGCCCAAAGAGAGCTAGGATAAGCTCCTGACCACACAAACGAAGAAAAGTAGTACAGTATTGCGCCCTCTGGTGGTGAAGATCATTGTAACGTGACAACTAACCTTTGTGTCACAACCCCTGGTCCTCCCCTATCTGGGCCCTCAGAGTATTTTCATCCATCCATCCATTTTCCGATCCGCTTTATCCTCACAAGGGTCGCGGGGGGTGCTGGAGCCTATCCAAGCCATCTTCAGGCAGTAGGCAGGGGACACCCTGAACCGGTTGCCAGCCAATCGCAG